CCCCCCCCCCCCTTCTTACCGTTCAGCCCTCCGGAAACGATCCGATCTAGCCGACTAAAATCATCGATGACACACTTACCAAAATGTCGATCGCAATTTGGAAAAGCAAGGCCCCTTCAAAAATATGCAGTAAACCCTGAAAACACCCTACATCTTTAAGAACAACCCACTGAAAAAAGTGCATGGCCACCCCTGACTAACCTAACAAAGAAAGACACTCCTTTTCTTTGGTCCCTTCCCTATCAGTTGGCTTTTTCACGAATCAAGAAGGCCTTGACTTGTGCTCCTGTTCTGAAGCTTTCCGACCCCACTCCACCTTTCATTTTGACCATTGATGCTAGTCAATATGGCATTGGGGCAGTACTTCAGCAGGAGGATGGGACTGGTCTGCGACCCATAGAGTATATGAGCAAGAAGATCAAGACCCAAAAGCTGCAGGATTCTACCTACGAGAAAGAGTTGTACGCTCTTGTGTGCACGTTGAAGCATTGGAAGCATTTCCTCTTGGGCAGGCACTTCAAGATATTTTAAGTGGATGAAGACCCGGGCATAATTGAATGACAAGCTAGCACGCTATATTTAGTTCATTTATCTGTTTGATTTTCAACTGAAACATAAGAAGGGCTGCTAAAATAAAGCTGTTGATTCCCTCTCTCGCAGGCTTGACATTTTTGCGGCCATCTCTTCTACTCACTCCTTTGGAGAGGAGACCCGCCAGACCATTGCCTGACTACTGCCTCAAGACCCGACTTGTGGACCCATCGTGAGGAGTCTGCAAGCAAATCCCAATTTTGAACCAGGCTATGCCCTGAGTTCAGGCTTGTTGTATACGTACAACAATGGGGAGGAACGCTTGTGAATCCCTCAAGACCAGCCGCTCAAAACACTGCTAAAGTCAGAGTGTCATGATGCACGCGACCATTTTGGGTTCTTAAAGTCTTATGCAGCCCTGTCGCAACGCTTTTTCTGGAAGGGGATGGGGAGTGATTCGCTGCGCTATATCCAAACCTGCGAGCTATGTTAGAGGAATAAGGTCCAGTGTCGACCTCCTCTTGGCTTGCTCACACCTCTACCCATACCTGATGGTCATGCTGAGTCCGTGTCTATTGACTTTACAGATTTAGGCAGAACAACCCCTCGCGGCATGCGTGAGGTAATGATGTGTGTTGATAGGTTCTCTAAATACGCAAAATTCATCCCCTTACCAGAAGAGGCTAGGGTCCCTGCTGTTAGAGCAGCGTTTGTTGAGAGGTGGGTAACTCACCATGGACCGCCCACTTCTATAGTCAGTGACAGAGATCGACGATTTTGCAGCAGTGAATGGCAGTCCTACTGTAAGGATTATCTGCATTCACGTCTGGACATGACCTCAGGTTGTCATCCTGAAGCCAATGGACAGGCTGAAGTGATGAACCAGATCCTGTTTCAGTTGTTGCATCCTGTCATCTCACCAGATCAACAGGACTGGGATCTTCACCTGTCTCGTGCACATCTTGTGTACAACACCTCTGTTCACTCGTCAACTGGGTTCACCCCTTATCGTTTACACTGGGACGTGAACCACGACAGCCTCTTGATGATCTCATCAACAAGGCGCGATCCGATCTCACTCTTGGGACTGCTGAGTCTGCTAGGCGGTACAGGATAGATGTGGAAAGGGCACGTGCCAACTTGTTCAAAACCCAAAATAAGATGATTGAGCAAGCTAACCGGCACCGACGTCCTTTCCCCATTCGTACCGGCGACCATGTATGGGTAGCCAGTTCAGAGTTAACGAGGGAGGATAATAGCTCTCCCAAGTTGTTGCCACGCTATTTGGGTTTGTGGCAGGTGCGAGATACAGCGGGCTCCGATCCTTTTGGCCCGTCGTAATTAACGGACGTTCCGCTGCATCTGCAGACCTATCCGATCTTCCACGCATCCAAGTTGTTGCCTTTTACATCAGCTGATGCATTTCCTGACTGGCCCCCTCAATTTGGACCACCTATACCTGGTCGTGGGTGTGAGGTAGAGTCAATTGAGGATGAGTGGGGCACCGGCCCCGATCGGCAGTATCTTGTGAACTTTTCTTTTACGCGGAAGGAACTTCTGAAGACAGCAAAGTCTGTGGTTTTGCGATATCAGGGGGCTCAAAAGGGATTACTCCCTCGCTGATCCCCTCATTAACGCCCTTAGCTCGGAGGTCCTCGCTCCCCGGGGGGGTAAGCCTGCAATGACTTGCTGATTTGACTATTGTGTTCTGACTGCGAGGCTGTATAGTACAGCTAGGGTTAGATTTGCAATTTTTGTTTTCCCTGAGGACTAACTGCGATTTCAGTCTTTAGGAAATTAGTGAGGTACATATCTGTAAATTTGGGAAATTTACAGTCCTACCCTAACTTGAATTTCCTATACTATCCTAATTGTGAATAGCAGACCCGAGCTACCATGAAAATAGTCAGGCCTACGGGCCTACGCTGATAGACTGGTCCTATAGTCTATAGTTGGGGGGGAAGAGGCCCTAGAGGCCGAGACTGAAACGGTACCGGTCAGTCCAGTCCTAGGTCTAGGTTAGTCTATTAATAGGACGGAAGTAGTGTAGAGGTGGACTTTTGGCATTTTCATTTTTGACGGTGACGCGTGAGATTGAGCCAAGGAAGGTGACGATTGACTTTTGGAGACATCCCGAGTCCCTCGTCAAGGAAGACAGCCATAGCCAGACCTCTGGGGCCCGCTACAGCTGGGTCGCCCTCTGCACACTCACCCCTGAGGGTGCTTGTGATCTTCTGGGCTATCAGGGGGCTCTACATCGCTGTTTGTGGGTGGACCGCTGCTGCTGCTACTTCCCCAGAGTTCGCAATGTGGCAGAGACAATGGCGCTGCAGCCATAGCTGCAGCTTGTGACGGCAGAGACTCTTCTTCTTCATCAGGAACTTGAGCGCTGGTCTCCTTCTTCATCATTCTGGTTGGCGCAGGCCTCTGGGAGGCGGTTTCAGTGCAGCGCTACAAACAGAGTGTAGGAGTTGGGGTGGAGTGGGGGTTTCAGTGGTGGGGAAACATTGGGAGAGAACTCTGTAACGTTCAGTGTTGATATTGGCTCAAACTTGGTTACGTTCTGTTGTGATCCTCGAAGTGTCTTCTTATGATTGGTTGTTGGGAGTTTCGTCAGAGAGACACTCTGTGCACAATTGCTTTCCGCTGCTTAGTCTGTCTGTGTGCAGTGTGTACTCTGTCTCCTCTCCCCTTCTTCTTATGCATGTATGGGCATGTGTGAGATCGTCTGAGTGTGAGTGTTGATTGAAATCGACAGACAACCAAATTCATAACAGCATCATACAGTTGGCCCAGACCTTGGCAGTTGCGCCTGGACACATACACACAATTCAGGGCTGATACATCACGAAATGGCCAGGCCTATGCAAAAGTAGCACTGTCGACGTACCTACCCCGGGTCCTGAGCAAATGCAGCAATCGGCCCAAGTCTGGAGACTCAGGCCCTGCCCAACTGTAAGGGGCCCAGGCCCTCAAGTGTAGCCTTGGGCCTGGGCGACGGCACTGGGGCCCAACCGGAAGCTACTGGAAGCTTCCAGCCAGGCCACACGCAGCCACGGAGAGGCTGCCACTTCCATGTAGGAAGGTGGGCAGCCAGGAGCCAGGCATTCTGGCCCACACAGGCAATGCGGTCACGCTGCTGCGTTAGAGGCTGCGTGCTGCGCTGAGGCCAGAGCGCGTGCGGCGTGAGAGGTGAAGAGGGGCGCTGCTGGGGAGCGGAGCGCAAGCAGCCATAGCCGGGCTGTAGGGCGCTAGGGGGTAAGAGGGCGATCGATGGTCTTCAGGAAACGAGGCGAGTGGGGGTGGACAGGGTCTGATGAGGGGAGATGAGATACGTACCTGGTACATGAAAGAGGTCAGCTATGGTGTTGACGTCATGTACATTGGTCTTCGAGAGTCGAAGTGAGCCTGTTGCGAGAATGCTGATGTAGGTAGGATAGTCAAGTAGTGTAGGCTGGGCGCTGGGCGCCAGACAGAGTGGAGCGACTTTGGATACTGTGCCTGAGGGCTTGAACATTGGATCGTTACTTCATTGTATTGCTCTTATTTGGATGGGATCTTGGTGCATTTGCGCTCTCTGCTTGTACACGGCTACTTGGACATCTGTGTGATTTCGCAACTCGGTTTTCTGTATATTGTTTCCAGTCATATTCGTTGCAAATGTGTCTGGATTCGGATTGATATTGGTGGGTGTAGAAATGCCCAATTGGCAATCCGAAAACAAAAGGAAAAACGCCAGTTCTTTTTATCTACACAGGGAGACCCAGGCAGGTGAGTCCGAGAGACTTGCTGAGATGCGCGAACAGGCACCCAGTTAACCTAGTTTATGGTTTCATTCATTGATTCGCGTCTGAATGAAGAAGCTTTTATCTTGAGAGAGGTGAGGAGTTTGCATTTAGTTATAGTGCTCGTCAGGATCAGCCAGCCCAGTTTTATCGCAGACCATCCCTCTTCCTTCCTTCATAGTAACATCTGGTAGAGTTGAGGTACTTGTGAACCTGGCTATAAAATTGTCATTGTCTCCCTCAAAAACTTGTTTCCTTTCTTGCTAAAGCATAATATGAGGAAACTCAGATTCAAACTAACCTGCAGTTGCTCCTTTTTCTGCATGTTCAGGTCAAGCTGTGCCTCAAGCTCAGTTAGCCTTTCCAAAATGGTTTGCAGTTCTTGTTGCTTGGCTGTAAGACCTCTGACTACATCCTCATATCGTGACTCTGCAAAATGCAATTTTTCTTTCTTTGGAGCAACAATTTTTGCTACTTGATCATACTTCTCTATTGCCAGGACCCACTTGCACAGCCCTTCAGCCGCAGCAGATGCATACCCTGCTCTTTCAGGTGTGAACTCAGGATTCTGTACAAACCGTTGCCTGATCTCCTTGATGATACGTGGGGGTATGTTATCCTTATCATAAGTCTTCAGACTTGTAAGGAATTCTCGATCATTTAGCAAAGCCACAGATGGCTTCCAATAATCGAGAATCATCTTTCCTGTGCCATCAGGAATACGTACAGGTTTGACATCAAGAATTACGCAAACTGCCTCCAGAACGAGCTTCACAGCACTCGGCGGGTTTGTCAATTTCTTGACAAAGTTTATATCATTTGCTGACAGTGTATCAAGGGCCTGTAAAGCTTCGTTGAGGGCAGGCATGGCCTCTGCCAGAGCATTCTCACATTCCTCTTTCATCAATTTTGCCTCAGCAGCCTGCTTGCTGGCTTCAGCTTCATCCTTCTGCACAACTGCCTTCTTTGGTTCGACCACAGCTTTCTTCTCCTTGTCAATAATATCCATTAGCTGCTCCACTTCTCCAACCTGATCATTGGGGACAGAAACGAAATGTATGCACATTCAACAGACATGTTTGCTTTTGAAGGGTTCATTTTCGAAGATTTGCTACGCAATAGGCAAAGAGGCAAGTATCCACCTCATGCATGTAAAGGATTCACTGACAGGACGAATGGATGCATTAACTATATTGTAATGAACCCAGTCTGGCAGATACTTGCAATGAATTGCAGTGTTACAAGCGGGCTGTATACTAATTTTGTCCCTGTCGTAGTTGTTGGGATTTGATCCCGCAACCTCTGTTTGCTGTATTGCCAGTTTGTTTGTGGTTTGTGTGTTTTGTACCCTGCGGGATTTGATCCCGTGACCTGTAACCTGTGTGTTTTGTTTATGAGTGTTGTGCCCTATGGGGCTTGATCCCTGTGTCTGTCACTAGTAGTCTCTGTTTGGTAGTCCTAGGCCATTCAGCCTTTCTCTTTTGCCTTGTCATAGGTTTAGGCCCCTTTTTCCCTTGTTTCCATCTAGATACAGATAGGTCTTGGGTTGTTGCTTTTGGGGAAGCCGTCCTAGGTCTAGGGGAAGGTAGAAGTAGCGGGGAGGAAAAGGAGTTCGGGTCTTTTCCTCGATTTTTTGGTGGGAAAACTCTGCCCGTCCATTTCGGCAGCATGGCTGCGTTATTTTGGGCAAGGGCATCTTCTCCATCGAAACCCAGCCATAGCTGGGGCTGGGATAGGGGGTTGGGGATGGCACTGCTGCTACTCAGCAGCTATGCATGAGAGCTTCCACCGGACTGTGTTGTTGGGCTTGGGCGCTGCCATTCTCTACTTGGCAGCCATATCTGTTGTTCCTCCTCATGAGGAACTTCGTTTTTGTCTTCTTCGAAGTGCTGGATCAGTTGTCTCCTTCTTCATCAGGACTCCCAGCGCTGCACTTCCGTGCAGGCACTGAGCTGGCGCTGCTATCATTGGGGTTGCTGGTTCAGGTTGGCACGTTGTGACAACTGTGGGGTTACTGTGCTACGGCAGCCATAGCCAGGGGCATGAGGTGGCAAGGAGGAAGAGGAAGACTCCTGCAGACTTCTTTGAACACTTGTTTTGTTTGTTCGGGGTTGTTGTAAACGCGATTGTGGTTCTTGGAACAAGTACTCTGGATTGATTGGAGGAGGACGGGGGATTACAGAATTGAAATTCGTTTTTCAATTCCCTGTGAATTTCGAGCTTCCGCTGTGCATATCTTCTCTCCGGTTTTGTGTGGATTTGCCTCCTTCGAGTCTACTCTGCAATTGCATGCGTGTATGGGAACGTGTGAATTCGTGTGGATTGAAGTTTAATCGGGTACGTAGCAGTTGGTATCGGAGCCGCGGCCGTGTGCAACCGGCGAGCAATTGAGTGGCAACCTTCCTTTCTGAGCGGCGGTTGGAGCAGGGACTTGTTGTCCGCTATCTTCAACGGATGTCGTTGGTGAGAGGTGGTGGAAGGTAGTGTGCGAGGGGAGAA